TATTTTGGGAATGCAAATTTTGAAACTGCTTCTAAGCCTGTGGCACATTTTTTTTGAACATCGTAAAAACTAGAAAATTTTCATTCTTAGAGTGGGTAAGTTAGATTTTTGATAATGGCTAGATTTATTTGGGGCTTTGGAGTCCAACTACTATCAGGTTGAATAATAATGTTTTTGGATTGTCCTTTCCTGCTATGAAGAAAATAATTGAAAAAGAAAATAAGCAAATACAACAAACACAGAATCCTGAAGTATGACTGGCGGTTCCTTATTGGCTGACTGTTCATATTTCCAAAATAGGATTTCCAGAAAAATTGGAAACAAGTGTAGCATAAATCTATCCTAAGAGATGGTCTATATAAAGATAGACATTAATTGTCATCTAGAAAAAATATATATTAAAGTCATTGTATTATTTAGTAACTATATCTCTGATAAGTTTTCGTTTTTAAGTTAAAATTATTTTTCCTTTCTGGTATCAGGAATGAAACTTAGGGTATCCTGAATCCTAGGCAGATGCTCTAGTTACATCCCCAGCTTACTGATGTGTTTAATTCTAGTTTCTTAATGTTGCAAAACAAAACAAAACAACAACAAAAAAACTGTAGGCCACCCTCGTCAATATATGATGCCGTATTGTTGGCTTCTATTTGTTTCATCAGTCAGAATAACTATTTTATAGAAACACTGGCATGGTTTCTCAGCACATGCTGTGTAGACAGACAGAAATTGATTCTGACCCCACGATCTTTACTAGTCAGGCGATTCTAGCTGTGGAAAGAAGTTTTTGCATTTGTAAATTGTGAGTAATCTGGGAAGTATTTGCACATTGAGAAACTAAGTAAAACCAAAGCTAGATGGGGCATGAGATAGCTTAGCATCTACAGGCACTTACATTATCACATTATGGCACACATTCATGAGAATACATACACAACAGACAAAGACATACATGCACACACTTAGACACACAAATGAATAAATCTTGCTTGAAAATTTTGATAAAGATAGAGAAGTTCTGTGGCATATTTTCTTTAAACCAATCAAGCCACATTTTCCCCGATGTTTCAACAAATCTTTGAGATATATTTAGAGATCTGTCTTAGAAGTAAATTTCTAAAAATGATAAAAGATCAGTGGGTTGGTCTTATGAAGTTAATGCTTTGGAAATAGATGAGTGTTTCTTTCTATAGATTCTAATCTTCTTTCTTTTAAAACACAAAACACTTCACTTAAAGGAGATAGTCAATAGAATTTTATTTCCAACCCCTTTTCTAAATATCCAGTGATTTCAGTGATTCATTAAAATAGTTTTGTTTCCTTAGGAAGAAACTTTCCACACATGCACAATAAGCACTTGGCATTTTGTGGCTTAAGCCTTGGGGACTTAGTGGTATTTGGCTCCTGACCTGGAAGTCTTTCTCCTGTCAGACAAAATCCTTCCCCTGCACATTCCTGTTGAAGTTTGTTTCTGTGTGCCTGATGGCAGTCTCTGAGGTGATCACTAGGGTTTACACTGCCTAAGCCAACTTTCCTTCCCTTTTCTACCCTTCTTCTTTGTAAGCGGACATCAACTCTGGCTTCTAACTCCTTCATTGTTTCACCAAACTGGAATCTTATTACCTAGGGAAAGTGGTGTCTACTGTGTAATGGCACTGAAACACTTGTGTATTACCTATACCAACTTGTAGTGTGCGTGTGTTATACAAATGTGCATGTGTATGTGTGTTAGCATGATTGTTGATATACATGTGTGTAAGTGGGTGTTTGCATATATGCGCAAGTGCATGTGGAGGCCAGATGTTGAATTTGCATGTCTTCCTCTATTTTCCCCCACCTAAATGGTGAGGTAGGAGCTATTGCATGAACCAGAGTTCATGTATTTGGTGTCTCGTAGCTCTAGGCCAGCCAAGTTGCTCCATGATCTTCTGTTACTGCCTCCCCAGTGCTGGGATTATAGGCCGGTTACTAAGCCTATCCAGCTTTTACATGGGTACTGGGAATCTGAATGCAGCTCTTCAGGCGTGTTTGGAATAAGGAATTGGTGTCAGAAAGTGGTTGGTGTTCAGGTCGGAGAGGCTGGGTGGTGTGATGGTAGATATAAGCTGCATGATGAATTAATGATGTGTTTCTGCTCCCTTCCTGCTGTCACTTTTATTAAAGCACTTATGCATACTCAAGCTTGGGAGTTTTGTTAACCATCAGACCATTTGGACATTTTGAAATTCTTACTTTAACCAGGGATATCTTAAGGCTAAATATATGTTGAGAATGTCCGAATAGTTTCTCTACAGAGTATGAAAATTTGAGCAAAATATGGAGAGGAAGTCCAAGTAGAATTATAAACATTTGTGTGTCCTGTTGTTGATGGACCATAAGCTCACTTTTGATTGAGCTACAAGTATCCACAGTGTCAAAAGGGGATATTTTGTCATGCATGGTTATATAAGTAGAGACATGTCGTTTATGTATGAAATATAAAAATGGAGAGAATGGATTAATGAATGTACCAATATTAATGGTTTTGACAAATTAGACTATTGATGGTTCTTTTGGCATAAGACTTAGTTTATTTCTTACTGCATGGCCTATGGATAAGTACTCGATTTTAAATATTAATTTATTTGTAGTTAGCCATTCCCTAGCTGATAGAAAAAAGCTTCCCTGAATTATGCAGCATTTACAGAGTTCTGTAACCTTAGATTGAAAAGCTATAGTTTAAATCCAGCTGCCAACAGTTGATCTGGGCATGGTTTCTTATTGTTATCACTTACCACAAAGCATTGTTTTGTTTATGTCATTTCATAGTTTTCCAATATTTTGCTTGAATTTGATTTAATTCATTTAAGAGGTAATTGCTGGTAAATGAGCAGTGAAGCAATTCCTTTTTTTTAAAAATTTGGGTAGTTAACATAATTTTAAAAATAAAGACATGGAGAGGTGTGTGCAAAGCACACACTCACAAACTGAGACTGTGAAGGACACTGACAGGAGAAGTTGGTCAGTTCCGTGGAGGACAGTGAACTCTCTGAGCAAATAAACTGCTCTCTGCATCAGTTTTCATTTCCTTTAAAAGTGGTCTTCCAAATAAGCCAGCCTAGCCAGGACAGAGTTATGCGTAGCTATCACCATGTAGGTTTTCAGTAAATGTGCATGCCTCCAGAAGAACAGCGCTGTGATTTGATCAGATAAATCATAGCATTTGTTTAATTTTATAATGAAATTTGAAACTAGAAGTCATTTAACTAAATTTCTGCATTTGCATAACCTATCGTAATGTTTTCCTTTTAAAGTGGTATTTGAACAAACCAGGAATATAACCAGATAGCATTACAGCTACCTATTCATCAATAAGACACATGTATTCACATGGAATAAATTATCTACTCATAGGAAAATACAAACCACACTGATGTGAATTTTAAATCAAAATGCTACATATATATTTGTAATTAGTATTTCCCAAATAATGATTAGCCCCTCATTATATACCCATTTCAGAAACTAAGAACAATATATTTGTTGTTAGAAGAAAATGATCGAATGATTGAAGATGCACTTACAATTGGTGGTTATTGATTTCCAAACTAGTGATTACATGAGAAACGTAAAATCTGTTATATGTTGCCAACACATGCAAAACTACTGAGGGTTCTGGAATTATCTTCTTTGGCTATTCATGCTCATTTTGCCAACATGCATAATTTCCCCAGAAATAAGAAGAATGATAGGATAAGGTACTGACTTTTGCCGTAGGCTGTGTATATGGAATGTTTATGTGGCCATCAGGAGTGTATACTTAGGCATCATTTACAGTGAAGTTGTTGGTAATTGTTAGATCATCAATCTGCAGTGAAAATGTTAGGAAAGAATGACAGGCTGGTGTGAGAAGAATAACAATTAGCTACCAAATTTCTGTTTAGAAGAACAATATTGACCATAACTACTTGGGAACCTTTTTGCTGTAGTAGATATTGTTTCCCTCAGTACAAATATGGTTGTCACGTGCATCTACAGCTGCTTACTTTCTTATGCATTGTCTTTGTCAGTTATATAATTTATGACTGTTGGCAGCTTACTTAACTTCTCTGTTCCTTACTTTCTTTAAGATGCACACAGTAACACTAACCAAGTAATAGGAATGTAAAAATCAACTCAGGTCATATATGTGAGGTTTTAGGAAAGGTTCTTGGATAATATATATTAATGATTATACTGTAGGCGTGACCAAATGTTGAAATATTCAAAGATATCAAACTCTGTTCCCTTTTATTTGAAGAGTTAATTCCTGCAAGTATTTTGTTTTATTTTCAGTAAGCCACAATAAACTCTTTCTCCCCCTATGATAATAGTGGTGAGTGGAACATATGAAAAACATGGTCCGTGTAAAATGGATCTTCACACAGACTTACTCCGTTATTTCAGTTTGATTTCTGAGAAATGAGTTCAGTCCATCTGCCAAATCCTTGTATAAGATGGTGCATTCCTGTTTTGATTTTAGTTGATTTCATTTATGAAAAGATTTCTTTTTTCTTCTCCACCCTGTCCTGGACAGTTCGTTCTCACGTCTTCTCCACTGCCCTAAAGTAGAATGTTACCGTACATTAAATCTTTAAATGTAAATAAAAATTGAGCATTAAAACGTCTGGAAGGAATCTGTCACTGTTTTTTAAAGTCATTCATTTATTATAGCTGAGTTTGAAACAAAAGCAAAATCAAAAAAATAAAAATAAAAAAGGAAAAAGCTGCCTGACATGCTGAAATCATACAATTTGATAATAATCCCCTTTCCTTGCCAAATTTGGAATAACAGACTTTTTCTTAGTGTGGGAGGGAGGCAACTGGTTTGGGGAGGGAAAAGATGGAATACAGCAGATGACAGAGAATCAGTTTGCAAACATATGTTAATATTTAGATTCTTTTTTAAAAGTGAAAAGTTAACTAGTTAACGCTTTTCCACAGACTGTCTTTGATACTATGTTTTGTTTATTCTGTCCCAGAAGAAGTTAGCGGTATACAGCAAGATGCAGGACTCTCTGGAAGTCACGCTTCCCAGCAAACAAGAGGAGGATGAGGAGGAGGAGGATGAGGATGAGGAGGAGGAGAAAGACCAGCCTGCCGAGATGGAGTACCTTAACTCTCGCTGTGTCCTTTTCACTTATTTCCAGGGAGACATTGGGTCAGTAGTGGATGAACACTTCTCAAGAGCTTTGGGCCAAGCCAGCACCTTGCATCCAGAATCTGCCATTTCAAAAAGCAAGATGGGGCTAACCCCCTTATGGCGAGGTAAGAATTCAAGAGCAGATGCCCTTCGGAGCAAGCTGTTTCGCAACTGCCTCTACCAGGCTCCAGCTGGAGGCTTGCCCCTGGAGAACGGATATCCACTTGCTTTTTAATTTTTAAGGACAGCAAGGAATTTCTTTCCGACAAACAGCTGGATCAGTTTTGTCACATGTGGAATGCAGGGTTGGAAAGGATGCACTCACACCCCTTAAATTCCTCATGGAAAAAGCAGTGATACAAGTGGCCCCAGTTTATAGTGGCCAGACAGAGCTCGAAGCTCCTTTCAGAAAGCCGCTGTGGCCCAGTGTGGCTCTCTAAATAATAGGCGTGCCCGAAAACAGCTCTAAAAAAAACACGTATTCTTGCTCACTCCACTAGGGGTTGTGTGGTGACATTGCTGAATTCTGATTCGGACCCAGGAACACAGACGTTGAAAGCTGCCTGTGTTCCCTGTGTGGCTTTCATTTAGTGACTTGTTGTGAACCATTTACAGGTTATGGTCCTCTCTCGGCTAGTATTTCGATGACTGAAGCCATTGTTTTACCTCAGTAAACAAAACGTTTCAGACGGACTGGACTCTCTGGACTCTTCTTTATTTTCTTCTTTGAGGCAAGCACAGTGATCTGCTTGCTTCCATGTTCTAGTTTTAAAGTCAGTGGGGCGAGTGACGTGTTAGAATGGTGATTGTCAAGGCTGGAGAGGAAAAGTCGTGTGCACTCTGAAGACAGTTTCAGAGGAATGTGTTAGATACAGATATTTTGTTCCAAACTCACCTGGCTCCAAGAAGTGGCTAGGAAAATGGTTGTAAACTGTGAGCCTCACGAGAGAACCTTTTAGAAAGCAATTTTCTGGCCCCTCCCCCAAGCCCCGAGGAATGGGAAACCGGTGTGAGTTAATTTGTGTTTACCCAGCCCTGGCAGGGGCTTAGAAGCAGGCTCAAGTTTGGGAATCAGTGACCTGGTGTCCTGGTTTGTGAGGACTCTAGAGTATGAATGTCTGCAGGAAGGTTGAGGGAAATACAGCAACAACTGTCTTGAGTAGTACCTGTGACAGAAGACCTTCCACGTCATTGTCCCAGGAATGGCTCTGCTGCTGCAGGAGAGGACCTCAGCTGGCAGCACCGGCCTTATCTACAGACACACAGTTCCTCTTCCTCCCCAGGCTTCATTTTGTCATTCTCTCCCTTCGGCCTTCCTTCCTCCTGTCCCTCATTCTTCTATTTTCTCTTTCTGTTTCTTTCCCTCCTTTCTTTTTTCTTCCTTATTTCTCTTCCTTTTTAGCGAACGTATTCAACACGAAGCCGGCATTGTAAGGGGCAATAGAATATGAACTGAAATAACAGAGGCTTGCTAGAGGTCACCCACATGACTCCTGCTTAATTGACAAGTACGTGCTGGGAATTTTGTATATGAACAGAGAGCCCTTGAGAGTTCACAATGCTCTCAGGAGGAGCCAATATCCTGTTTGATAGCTCAGAAGAAATTATGTGAATTCTTCAAAGAAAAGTTTTGTGACTCAGATGGTTTTAGGTAAACAATTTCATGTAACAATAATTAATCACATCAATATAATTATTTCTGGGAGAGTAATGATACAGTGGGTTCTTCTTTCAGTGACTGGCATTTGTAATCCTGGGATGATCTTGTCTGGAAAGGAGAAAGGATACCAAATTACCTGAAGCATAAGGCCATCTATAGTGACTAAGCCAGAAGACTTTAGTGTGTGTGTAACGACTCTAAAACAATTCAACTGTTTCTATGTAGAAATTAGAACAATCAGAGGAAAACTTGGATTCACTCTCTGATTTTTTTAATTGAGACAGGGTTTCTCTGTAGCTTTGGAGCCTGTCTTGGAACTAGCTCTTGTAGACCAGGCTAACCTCGAACTCACAGAGATCCACCTGCCTGTCTCCCAAGTGCTGGGATTAAAGGCCTGCACCACCCCCGCCTGACTATCTGTCTGAATTTTAAACAGAATGCAAGAATGGTAGCCATGTTTTAATAGTTATTGGTAACTTTGCCTTGATATCATCTTAGATTTAACTTCCCATATGTATGCTGACTTATTAGTTGATTTAGCCACAGGTATTTATTAAGCTTCTACTATGTATTATGTAATTTTCAAGGTACTCAGCTCTGTACTCATGGAGTGACTATTTATTTATTTATTTATTTATTAAAAATTTCCACCTCCTCCCATCCTCCCATTTCTCTCCCTCTTCTCCCACTCCCCCCTCGCTCTCCATTCCTAAGAGAAGTCAGGATGCCCTGTCCTGCGGGAAGTCCAAGCCTCCCCTGCCCCCATTCAGGTCTAGGAAGGTGTGCATCCAAACAGACTAGGCTCCCAAAAAGCCAGTACATGCAGTAGAATCAAAATTCTGTGTCATTATCATTGTCTTCTCAGTCCGCCCTCTTTGTCAGCCACATTCAGAGAGTCCGGTTTGATCACATGCTCATTCAGACCCAGTCCAGCTGGCCTTGGCGAGCTCCCCTTAGATCAGTCACACCATCTCCATGGGTGGGTGCACCCCTCACGGTCCTAACTTCCTTGCTCATGTTCTCTCTCCTTCTGCTCTTCATCTGGGCCTTGGGAGCTCAGTCCAGTGCTCCAATGTAGGTCTCTGTCTCTATTTCCATCCATCGCCAGATGAAGGTTCTATGGTGATATGCAAGATATTCATCAGTGTGGCTATGAGGGACTGTTTTAATAGCAGAGACAAGTAAAAAACAAGGATATAAAGAGTGACATTTAAGGTGTTACTTTACTGTAAGTGATAATGAACGCCTTCTCAAGCATAATTACATTTGAACATAGACCTAAAGGAAATGAGGGCATTCCTCATGTGACTATTTCTGGGGAAAAAAAAATGACTTACACAGAAGGACTATCCAAGCGCAACATCCCTAAGGATGAGTGGAGCTTAGAAAGCTCAGTGAGAAGGTAGCATGCTTATGTATGTGGAATAGTATGCCCACCCAGTTTCTCATGTCTTTCTGTCTCTCCTCCCACCAAGTCTACAAATAGTGTGTCTCACATCCATTTCCTCAAAACTCAAGGTGACACTTTTCTCTATGAATACTCTATGAATTAAGATAAACATAATTCAGTGACTAAAGGGTGGCATTATATGAATGAAGTTCATAATACATATCAAATATTTAAAACATCTTCACAGAAGCATCTTTTATTAATCAGTCATATGAAGTTTGTGGTACAGTTTCTGTCATTCCTTTTTTTTCATTCTTGCCTCCCTCCTTTCCTTTCTTCCCTTTTTTCTACCTTCCTTTCTTCATCTGTATGTTATATGTTTCTCTGACAAGTATGCCCATGTGTCTGCTGGTTCATGAGCCTATGTACCTGCATGTGGAGGTTAGAGGTAGATGATTTTGGCTTCCCTGATTTGATAGATCAAATCAAGTTCTGCCGTATTCCTTTGTGACAAGACTACTTACTGTCTAAAACTGGAGCTGGGCTGGCAGGCAGCAAGTCCAGCAGTCTTTCTGTCTGCACTACAATGCTAGGTTATAGGTGTCCATATTGATCGCAGTTTTGTTATTTAAAATTAAGGCACAGGATCAAGTAATTTTTGATATAAGGTCAGACAAAAGGCCTTGTTTACTTTCCATTTGTGAACTGAATAGTTCCATTGTTGCTTCTCGTTGCAAATTTATTTTCAAATCAACCCACAATACTTGATTAGGATTCATGGGAAACCCATAAAATGTTATTAAAGAAGAGACCTTCTTAAAGAGGAGGTATAATGAATGATATTCACATATTCTATAAAGAGAAATAGTCATAATATTAATATTATTGATAAAACTACACAGGATTAGACAATTCAATCTTTGGACTCTGGTCATTGCTTTATTCCTTGATGTATGCAAAGTGGTATTGGAGCAACAATTTAAAATCTTTGTGTGACCAGCTTGTCCAACAATAGCATATTCTCACTACTACTCCTATTTAAGGTTATTAGAAAAACACGTTGAAGAGTATATAAGTGATTTCCTGCAGAGCTTGAACCAACAGAATCACCAATGCAGATGCTTCTCTTTTCCTTAACTATGTCCACTTACTTGTGGATGGAAAACTGATGTTGAGTCTTTACCTAGAAACCTTGTTTTCTGGAAGCTCATATTTTTAGCATGAAGCAGTGTCTTCAAGATAGAAGGCATGGAGACTATTGATAATGTTAATGGAGTCGTTAGGGAGCTTTGAAAGAAGCTGCTGGCCAATGCACCTGCATTAAGTATTCTGACTAATAACAGTTATTCCAGTTCTATTTACATGCTGCATATGAACTTACAACTGAGTTATGTTTGAACAATATATTTCCATAATAAATTTTTAGACAAAGAGGATGTACCTGCTAAAAGAAGAATAAGCATAATGAAATTAATATCTTCTTGATAGGGCTAGAAAATGGTTTTGGACAGGTGCATCTGTTAGAAAAAACAGTTAAGGGGAAGAATGCTTTGCACCTTGTTCTGGTACAATGTATTGTGAATTATATCACACCTCACTTTGCATTTCAGTTAAGAACCAAACAATTCTGATTATCCACTTTTTCCCATCTAGCGTCTAGACTGAGACACCAGTTCCAGTTACACGCATGCTTTATTTACAGAAAATGTGTGGGTCAGTGTGTGTGTGACTGCATGTGACTTGGTCTCTGTGTGTTTGTGTGTGTAAGGAATGGTCAGGTAAGATGGAACATAGAAGGCCTCTGAATTAAAAGCGTGCCTCTCTGGCACTTATTGCCATTGATTCTTCTTGCACCTTCGAAATAAATATATCTGTCAGCTTGGGTCTGCTTGGGAACTCAGCCATGTGGGAGCGACCTCTCAGAATGAATAGTTCAGGCTAAGCAGACCCAAGGAGAAAGGCAAGGAAGGGCTATATCCTAAGGGAATAAAGGTACTGAGCGGATTCTCTAGGAGGCCCTCCAGGCTGCTGTTTCCAGGAAGTTAGAAACGGCAGTGAGAGGAAAATGAGGCGTGACTCACCTTGTGATAGTGCTCCAAGGGTTAGATCTCATTGCAGTCATGAGGTGATTTTGAGCAATGCTGCAGCCAAGTACCTGGAGGACAATCTTTGGATGCCATGGCAATGCTAAATTCCTGGATAACAGAGAAGTTCAAAGTACATTTCCTTCCTTTTCGGACTTGACAACTGGTTTTTATAGGAATTGGAAGAACCAGGGAATGGGCCTTCAAAAGTATCAAGAACCATTTTTTGTTAAGCATTGAGTTTAAATAGTATTCTTCCTTTTTTTTTTTCCTTTTCTTCCTCTTCCTTTCTGAGGTAGGGGCTTGCTCCTCTGTCTGCCTTATCTGGTAGAGATTCTCAGCCTAGATTGCCAGTGAACTTGCACACTCCTTTAGGCTCGTTCAGACTCTACTTGAGGGCTAAATCACAGGCATGTGTCCCAATGCTCTAAATAGTTTATTTCTTTATTGTGAATTTTAAAAGAAAATGTTATGTTGGACTCTAATACCTTTTATCTGTATTTACTCTCAGAATGAGTCAGCAGGAGATTACTAAAGATGACTTACGATAGCATCTCTTTGTCTTATTTTCGTTAGTATTGTCATTATTATCTAAAAAAATTAAAATTTGAACTGTTTTACAGTTTTTGTTCTTGTTTTTCTTTTTTTTTCTTTTTTCTTTTTTCTTTTCTTTCTTCTTCTTCTCTCTCTCTCTGTCCCTCTCTCTCTTTTTGTGTGTGAAGAGTTGCTATAAAAAGTACCCCAGTACTATACACAATTTTAAAAGGATGCTTGGCCTCTAGGATCCATGTTCAACTCCTCTGTTTCTCTTTGAAACATTTTTTTCCCCAAAAGTCAGATGGTGAGATTACTGTTACGTTTTGAAAGACCGTATTGGACAACATATCAATTTTGCCTTATCTTTCGTTTTTAGAAACACATGTGTGTGTGTTCCTAAAAGTGAACTCAATAAAAATCACATTTAGGATTTTTGTTGTTGTTATTTTTATGTATGAGACTATCAGTGCTGGCACCACCTGAATGCCAATATTGCATGAATGTTGAATAATGGTGCTCCAGAATCCCAATTGAGTCTTAATATTATGCAGTTTTGAATCATTTTCACTAACCTTAAAGGTAACATTGCATGGAAACAGCTCCTGCAGCTTTTCATCTGCTTTCTTATACACCAAATGTGGCTGTGATTAAGTACTTGCAAAGAGTCACATAATGAAAAAAATTTACATACATATGAAATAAGCAGGCTGGTTCTCCAGCACAGAGCACAGTGTAGCATCTGTTTCTTTGTGTCACTTTTTTTTTTAAAGAAGCAAGATACCAAATAGTGATCCCGAAGCATGGATTTCTTCATGAACATATTTTCCGTTCAATATTGTTTCACTCACTTGTAAAATGCTGCAGTGTTTGCTGAAAAGGGCTGCATAGATCCCTACAAACTTTATATTAATCTCAGGAGACCCTATATAGACTGGGAAAATATTAAATTGCTTTTAATTTTATTTTTTGTTGAGGAATTTTAAAGAGCGGTTCAATTTTTATGGAGTGCCTTTAAAAAAAGATTTCATCTTTCAGTGATACTATGTTCACTCATCACACTAGAGTGCTTCATAAGTAAGAATAATACTTTGGTAAGCGATATCTTCATTATGAGAATTTGTGTGTGCATATATACAGTGTTTAATCAACCATTAAAATAAGAATGGTTCCATCTTTGTAAGCATCAAGAAAAAGATAGATATCCAGATAAGTGTAATACTATTTCTGTACTTTGGACAGTTTCCTCAAGAGGTTCAATAAGAGGAATTTTATGAATCAGAGATTGTTAGTTTTCATATCCAGGTTCTGGTTGTATAAATTATGAGCAGATAGAAACTATGAGATACAAATTATAAGCAGAATGGTACCATGGGAGGTGTGTCAGTAAAGAGGAAGATTTGTGGTTGGCAAGCTGCCTTAGAGTGCCCATAAGGCCGATTTGTAAGCATTGTCTTTTAATCAGTGGTGATTGTCACGAAACAGTCATTTATTGAAGAGCTTACTGGGAGTGACTGAAGGCTTCAGCAACAATTTATATCCTTCCTGCCCGAAGAGCATCATTTCACAGGTTTCTTTAAGGGTTCTGATTTCCATAGCAAAGCTGAGAAAGTGTGGGTTGGTTGCCACAGGATGAGGGGGTGACTCATGGCAACACTGGTGCAGATCTGAAGGCAAGAGAATGGATGTTCTTGTCTTAATAATACCAAATCATTAGGGAACTTAGAGAAGATGTCAAATATGACAGAGATGCCCTGATTTGCTTAACCTCATGATGCATGTTATTGTTTATTCAAATTTTTATACTGAGGCAATAAAAATGTGCTCATGTCCCGAAGATGTAAGAAATGATAAGCATGTTAGATTAAATATTTCTAACAATGAGCACCTCTTAGGCTATCCTTTGTTCAATGGGAAAGTCTAGATTATTTATGTGGAAACTGGCATAAAAATATCAACAATGCCTATGCATAAGTAACGCCGATTGCAACCCTGTGTCCAACTTTAGCAGAAATAATCAGTTGAACAGGCAGAAGGAAAAAATATTGAGCAAGATAATTCAAAGAGTATGAATTAAAATGCTTTATTATTTTTAATATTAAAAAGTGACAAAGAGATCAAGAAGTCCATTTATGGTTATGAGAAAAGAAATGTATGTAATGAAAGTGAAGATCCACAGAGCAGAGCTCCCAAGCTCCCTGCGAGGCTCTTATAATAAAGTCCCTTTCAATCCTCTGATCAAGAAGCCCACCCTCTTCTGAGTCCTTTGTATCTCCATTCTTCCTCCCATCTCTCTCTTTCACCAAATTTTGCTTATTGAATTTTATCCATTAAATGCTACTGATGCTGGTGATATTGTTGTGTTTGGTGTACCTGTGTAGACTCTGAACTATGTTAGCATTTCGCCTGTTAGACCATCAGTCTAGAACTCCATCTCAACCCTTCATAAGCCTAATTCCTACTCAGCCATTCTAATTTGACATGGTTCTCGCTTTTCTGGCTCATTTTGTGGGCTTGCCCTCGAAAACATTTGCAGGTCTTCCTCCCTTGTGCACCCAGTGACGTGATAAAGAGTGACAGTGGTCTATATGTTTCTGACTTTCTCTAGTCTAGTCCATGTATGTCACCTGTAAACATTAAGATGAAGGAGGCAGTGAATTGATGGAGGAGGATGCTGCTTCTTCCTTCCTTGCCTGCAAGTGTGATCTTTAGTTTCCCCAAAGTTTCTAATATGACCAGAAAAGTATAACTCAACCTGAGCCATGCTGGTTATCAATTCTAGAGCATCTCCAAATCCAGGTAACCAGGTTGCAGTCATAATTGTTCCTGCTAGTGGTCATTATGAAGTCTACCATCCTTTGACTATTGAAGAAGGGTATCTTGTTTTGCAGGGTAGGCTTGTGCTTGCCAACACCTTAGACTTTTACCCTGTCTCCATTTTCTTACTGGAACGGAGTTAGAATTCCATGAGCTCATGAGCAGCCTTCAGTCTGGTGTTGGACATCTGGCTACTCTCATTAAATGTTAACCATTGTTATTTCCAAGACCATAGCATTCCTAGGTTTCCACAGAAGTTAAAAAGATAAAATTATTCTTTTAAATGATCAATGATTTGGTGGGAACAATTACATGTTATCTTGTTACCATTATTTTTTGTTACCATTTCTTAATTTTGTCATTGAAATGTATGGTTAAATAAAAAACATTGAGTTGGTGCATAAAAGATATGAGTGCAACTATTTCCAGTCTACACAAACACACATATCAATGGCACGAATATTCTTCACCAGAGAAATATATAGAATGCTGTTTAGAACTAAGAGCCACACGGCTCCAACAGGAATGAAGCCTTTCAGTCATTACATTGAAGCAAAAACCTCGTCTCAAACTGAGATAGAGAAAGCCCCACAAAAGCAAATGCAGGGGGTCTCATTTTGAATCTTGCCTTATTGCCGGGACTTGGTACCCCAGAGGCTAAGCCTGTATCAGCTCATTCTTCTTTGTAGACAGAAAACATGCATAGTAATCCTCTTGCTTGTAAAACATTACTGAACAAGCAAAAGCAAATATACAGCAGAACTGTATCTTATGTAAATAACGTGTTTTCTGTCTTCTCAGACAGCTCAGCTCTCTCAAGCCAGCGGAGTAATTTCCCAACTTCCTTTTGGACCAGCTCTTACCAGCCCCCACCTGCACCCTGTTTGGGGGGAGTTCATCCTGACTTCCAAGTCACTGCACCCCATGGCACCTTTACAACAGCAGACCCCAACTCTTGGCCAGGACATGGTCTGCATCAGACTGGCCCTGCCCCTCCCCCTACTGCATCCGAGTCCTGGCACTATCCTCTGGCATCTCAGGTGAGCCCGTCCTACAGCCACATGCATGACATGTACATGCGGCATCACCATCCTCACGCCCACATGCACCACCGCCACCACCATCACCACCACCACCCAGCTGCTGGTTCTGCCCTGGATCCCGCGTATGGGCCCCTGCTAATGCCATCAGTGCGTACTGCCAGGATTCCTGCTCCCCAGTGTGACATCACAAAGACAGATCCGACTACAGTCACCACTGCTACCTCAGCATGGGCCGGAGCCTTTCATGGGACAGTGGACATCATGCCAAGTGTGAGCTTTGATGCAGGTGAGTGAACAGATTTCCTTCTTTCTAGAAAAAGAAGGGAAAGTTAAGACAAAGGTTTTGGAAAATAGTCTTTGCAAAGTTTTCTCTTGAAGCTAATATGCTTGGAGAACAGAGGCATTTTGCAATAATTCCTGCATTCCTGTGGAAAGTAGAATGACTAGCTCATGAAAGTCTTCTAAGAAAGGTCTCAGCACGTTTCTCGCATCTCCTATCAGGGGAGTCTGTTACTTTGAACGGGATTTCTCATACCTTATGTTTACAAATAACTCAACCCTTCTTTAAATCTCCCATGACTCTGCACTCTGTACCATATGTTCTGCCCGCCAGATTTCAGAGGTAGTGGTATGCTTCAGTTATGCACTGTGAAACAGATTGTCTTTTGGAATGTGGTCTACAGTCCAGACTTAAATAAATAGGGACCATATTTTAAGAGTAGACTTTTTTCTTTTCTCTCTTCCTTCTTTGCTCTTTGTTTTCTTTCTTCTCCCTTCCTGTTGTTATTCTCTCTGATTTAAGTAACACATGACTTCAATGAGTACTGTAAATTTATATTCACAATGCTTAGAAATAGTAATGAAAATATTTCTTTATAGAACACTTGTCTCTGGAGTTCGCTAGTCGTGGAGATCATGGTTTTAGCTTTCTCGTTTTCATTGTCCTGTCCTCCTCAACCCTTTTTCATTTCCTGCTGAGTCTATGGTAGGGACTCCGTTTTCTCTCCTGGTAAAGAGTGTTCTGTGGTGCTAAGCATTGCAGGCCACCCTTTGTCACAGAAGACAGATGCTTATGCTTTTCAGTGTCTGGGGAAAGATATTGTTGGATCCTCAACATATTTGCGGCCACATTGAGCTGTGTGTCAGTTGGAAGCTTGCTCTGTTTCACGTCTTTGGCCTCTGAGGGGTCACACTAACAGTGCTCCTAACAGGCAGGGGATGGCACTTCCTTCTGTATATTTTGTCAATAAAGAGAAAATGGGCATGATTTCTTGTTGCTTTCTGTTTCAAATTCTCTGTTTACTTTTGCTTGCTTTTGTACTTGTGAAGTTGGGAATTAGTCTGGTGCACACATTTTTCCCCCTCAGAATTGTAGACTGAAAATGTCTCATCAAGATGAAAAGCCATGCTTTGTGCTTTTAGAAGCAGACAAGAGAAAGGTTTTATTCTCTAGGATATCTTGAGAAGATCACTTTTGGTTTATTAACCCATGATTTAATTTCATTTATTAATCATTTACTGTATGCTATTAGCATGTTTTTTTCTATATGCTGACATATTAGCACATTTATATATTTATTTGTATTTATATCATTATGTAATATATATGATAGCTTTCTCATGCTGCTATGTAGTGTTTTAAATTTCTCAAACAGATCTTTATATTTGATCCAAGAGAATTCTGAGCTAGAAGTTTTATGATTCCCTATGTAGTAGTCAGAGTAACATTGCTGTAAGCAAGCAAAGTGATAAATGGTGTTGCAATGATTAGTAGTTTGGAAGGGAAGTTGTCCTTATTGGATGTACGAAAGGGTTCTCATGGTCAGTGTGAGCTTAGTAATTAGATAGGAAAGAAGATCCATCTCTAGTCTATGTTTTCACCCAACTGGAAAAACAAAGCAACTCAATAGAGTAAGATAAAGTATTGGCATGTTCATTTGATTAGAACACTTTCCACAAATGGACTTTTTATTTTCTCAAGCTAACTTTATATCAACACCAGGAGAAATCTGACTTCAGAGAATCTTCCATAGTCATCTCTATCACATTTCAGAGTGTCATGATTATGAAAAGAACTGATTTTTTGCTTACAATGTCTTCTGAAAAGAATGACTTAAGGTACAACATTACCCTGGAAAGAGCAGCAGAAGGAGGAGTCAGCACCTCTGGCCTAAGCCAATGATGAGAGATGCTAAGTCATCTATAACCAGTTCCTACTACAAAATTCAGACATAATATCAATGCCACATTCAAATTCAAACTGGAAAAGCATGGCAGGGATCAATTTTTACAGGAAACAGCCTTTGAGTCAGTTTGTGGACTAATGTTGTAGGGGATCATATCTTTGGTGTGAGAAAAATCCTTGAGTCCAAGGGGCTGGCTTTTTATATTTATACAATTTACATTGCAGTTCTTGGCTGTGGCTTGTCTCTGAGAAAATGGACATGACACCGGATAAGGTGTCTTTGTTCAGTTGAAGCTAGTTCTCAAAGAGAATTGCTCCTGAGAGAGTTTTGAGGCAATAAGAAGAAAAGGGAGGCTACAGTCATGAAGGGAAAGGATCTGGGTGGTACACCCATTCACAATGTCGGACCAATAAGAGGTAGTAACCACCCTTCTGTTCAGATTGATTCTGATAACAGATGCTTCCATGTAAAATTCAAAAACAAGAAGGAATTGTGTAGCTGAATTAGGGAAGGAGACTGTCCCTTTCTGAAATTCGTGGAACAGTGACCTGACTCTGCAGGCAGCACCCTACAGTGGCTCTTCTTAGGTCAGTGTTGAGAGACCAATAAACAGCCAAGCTAAGAACGATATGAGTCAGGTGAGGCAGTCAAAACTTTCTTCAAATCCAGGTATCTAAGCCAACAAAACATAGACAGTTTTCATGTTTCATTTCATGGCAAATAAACTAATTCAACTATTTCAAGAAGAATATTTTGGTAAAGGCCATAATAGTTTCTTCCACAAGGGGAGGGATTTCTGGTTGCCGTCACAAAAGCCCATAGACAGAATGACTTCTGAACAGCAGAAAACTGATTCTCATACTTCTGAGACTGCTGGGACCAAGGCCAAAGTACCAGCTATATCCAAGTTACAGGAAAGACTGCTTTGTTGTTCACAATTGGTCATCTTTTGTCACATCATGGTAGGGTCAAATTAGCCTTGTAGCAGCTTTTATATGGCATCAACCCCATTCACAAGGGAGCTTCTCTCTTGATGTAATGGACATGTCGCCTAATACTGTTACTTTGGGGATTTGGATTTCAATACATTAATTTGAAGAGAACATAAATATCCATCCATTGCCAGTGAAATGATAATTATAGCTGCAATTTCATTTTGCAGAATGCAGAGAAATTAAGGGCCTCTAAGGAGGAGGATTGAATTTGGTATAATATTTAGTAACAAAGGAATTTTAAAGCATTGTATATTGCATAATTGAAGGGTTGATACCATTTTTACTTTTAGGGACCAGTAATAACATTTTATGCTTTTCTGGGTTTTCTGCCCTTTTTACTACGACTTGGCTCTCCTTTAGTGGTACTCAGTCAACCATAGAGAAAACCTAAGGGAAGATGTCATCTTTCAGAATTTTCTGGAAATTTGGGTAGCTCCAACTTTTTAAAGGGTATTTCTTCTCTAAGTTAGTTAAGTAGCCTGAATTTGGGGACAGATTGCCAACTTTTCTAACTCATTTTAGTCTACAAAAGTAAAACAAGGTGGGCATTGAGCAAGGTTCCTGAGATTTCTCATCTTTACAATACATAGCATTTCTTTGAGGGTGAAACAGGTCAAAGCAATTACAAAGCAATCACAAGGGTGCTAGCACTCATAATTTCTATTGATGGAAAAACCAAATTTGATTTATTTAACTTTAAAAGTTATTACTTATTTATAATTTGGAATAACCTACCATCCATTTTAATGTATATGATTCAGAGGTTGTCAGTTATCCACCATCTTGTGTAATGATCCTTAATATCTAATTCTAGAACATTCAGTCACTTCAGTAAGAAACTAATTTCTTATTAGAGTTTACTGTCTATGTCCCACTACTCTCCATTCTTGGTAGCTGTTCATTTACTTGATGCCTCTACAGATTTACCCTTTCTGTTCACCAAAGAGAAAAGAAATTCTACAATATGTATAAATGGAAGTTTCTCTGTCCCACCCTGTCTTGTAGCCGCTTCTAAATAATTACTCAGAGGCTTAATATTAATTGCAATCTGTTTGCCGTATGTCTTAGAATTATTACTAACTAGCTCTTATAACTCAAATCGGACCACTTTTATTAATCTACATATTGCCATGAGGCTCATGGATTTGCCTGTGGTCTAGCCCGTTGCTTCCCCATTGGCTAATTGTCCGATTCTGTCCTTCTTTCCCCCTGTATTCAACTTGGCTTTCCTCTGCCTTGTTATAGGGCAAAGCAGCTTCTTTATTAACCAATGAGGACCATATGTAATCACAGTGTACATGAGGATCATCCCACAGAAAATATGTGCCTTCTTTCACTTAACCTGATGTTTTTCAAGTGCCGTCTATGTTATGTGAGCATAGAATTCCATTCTTTTCAGGAGTTGATCTTATTTTACTGCATGACAGTATCATGTTTTTACTTGCACATTCTTTAGTTGGTGGATATTGATGTGTTCTTATATTTGATTTATTATGATTAATACTGCTGTGAGCTACCACGTACAAATATTTGTATGAATATATTTTAAAATATTTTGAGTATACTTGTGATATTGAGAGAACCACGCTTAAAGTTTTTATGTGTTTCTGTATTTGCGGAGCTTAAAAATAATTTACTATATTTGAAATAATTTTTGTTTCAAACTATGTTTTAGCCTTTAAACTGACCATAGCATAGCATACTAGAGGCTGAGGTTGGAAGGTGAAAATTTTCCATAAGAATGAAATGAGGTGGCCATATTTTCTGAAAGAATATACAATTTAACGTTCTTAATACCAGAGTTGTGCTAATCCTTAATGTTTGCGCTGCTGTTACACTTGGCTTACCCTCGGCCCACTGTTCTCTCTGCTAAACAGGTTTTACATAGTATGTGCTGATATAATCACAAGTCACCTGTATCTGCCCTCCTTAGAAAAATCCCCACCTTTACACAGAGACTGTTATCATGAATCTTACATTAGTCTTTTCCCTTTTTATTGGCAATTTAAAAACTGAGTTCTTCAAGGCCTGTGGAACAGTACTTCCAAATTGTAGGTTTGCCTGAAAGGAAGATCTATGGTCAAATGAACTTTTGACAGAGAATA